GGGGGGGGGGGGGGGGGGGGGGGGGGGGGGGGGGGGGGGGGGGGGGGGGGGGTGGCGACAAGAAAACCAAAATGAAACAGTAGTGGAAATAGTGTAGAGAGAGGGTGATACTGCATGGGGTGTGGGGGGGGTGCTGGTGCGGATAATTCGACAAATACCGAAGTTGCCGTCCGGCTCCTCTTGGTTCTTTTAACTTTTTCCCCATTTTGGCTGTACAGCAATGTCAGCGCTGACGTTCGATGGTACGCGGGGCACAGTGGGAAAAGCTACAGTACTACACTACAGTATCCTACGCTTCCTAGAACAGGGATCGGCGGGGTGTATAGGCGGTCACGTGTGTGCGAGTTGATTGTCGGCGACTATTTCCAAAAACATTCAGCTCTAAAATTGGAGCGTTTTTACGCAGACCGGCGCACTGCTACATGGTACAAGAGGCCAGGCCGTGAAAGATGGTGCAGGCGTTTTACTTCGTGTTTGGATGCATGGAAGGTCTGTCATAAAAACTGTGTCTGCTGCTAAGTTACATGGATCGGTGTGTGACCACAACCAAAAACAGCAATAGCCGCCTCAAGTCAACGCTAAAACAATGTTCCAGTGTCTCACCATGTCTCCCTCCTTGACGTGGTCATCGCAATTGGCCACGAACTCGTCGGCCAGCTGAGAAATGTGCACGAGTCCGTTCACCTGGTTGCATAATCGCGGACCGTTTGGTGGAGCAAAGTGTGTTCAAATGTCACGAATGGAAGGGTAAGGCTTACGAGCATTAAGGACCGTTGGCGTCGGAGTAAGTGGCTTGTTTTCCTCGAAAAGGCGGAGTCCGCCGCAGTGGCTAGCTGCGGTAATCGAATACAGTCCCGCCAAGGTTGATTTCGAGTGTCAGCCGGCCAAGTTTCGTCCTTAAATTTACTTTACCCGTCGTACAACACGCTTGGTCGTGAATGCACGTCACGCGTCTGGATACGAAGACACCAACAGAATGCAAGGACAATAACAATACAGGTGCAAGGACTTGTACTGTAAACATCGACGCCGTAGGCACGACGCGCATGCGCCCTGACCTGAGGCCACTACAACATAAGATGACACGCTCGATACTAAATTTACGGTACTACCGGAACGACACTCAGCATGCGGTGCACTGCCGGCAGCAACAGCCAGTGGTCAGTTAACCGTTACACTGGCTCCAAGGACTCAAGAAACACGCACGCACCTCGGTACCGATGTCTACGAAGGCGCCGTAGGTGACGACGTTGTTGATGACGCCTTCGTACTCCTCGCCCACAACGATGTCCTCCAACGCAATCGACACCGCGTCGTCGTCATCCTGTACCAAAAAAAAATTAACACACAAAAACACTGCCTGTCGGTATTCATCTACCATCTATTGTTAAACTCGTCAGTACCAGCCTCAGCTATCCAGCGGGTGACATTCAATCTTCATGATGAACACTCCAATAGACCCCTTATCTCGTGTCGGTGGTGCAGTGAGTCATGTTTGTAGGTAATCACACACGCAAGCAAGCGGACGGTCGGTGGCCAACCGTTCGCTCTCTCGTTGCGTCGCACAAAGAGTGGGAAAATGCCAACATCAACTAGCCACCCGCCATTTTGTTTTCGTCCAACCCACTCTGCCTGTTGACCACAAGCCGACACTAGTATAGCAGCCGGTGCCAACGAGTGTCGTGTATTTCGCGACGAGCAGTGGCAGCGTTTTGGGGTTATCCATCAATGGTGCCAAGCAGGAAAGACGAGCCAAATAACATGTGTCGTATTTTCATGAGGCCAACAAGAGGGAAATCGTGTGTGGGGCTGCAGAACCAGGGGCAGTTGAACTCTTTGCGGGCAATGTCAAGAGGAGCATGCGCGGTGCCGAAAAGAGAAAAAAACAAACGCACACCTAAAGGTGAGGCGAACAAGCATACGGTAGTGGACGGGCACAACAAACACGGCCCTCTTGGGACAACGCTGGGCGCCCAGGGAGCAGACTTCAACCAAGGCTTTTTTTTGTTGCCCTCTTTTATCTCTACAATCAACGGAATTTCGGCGCGGCTGCTGTGTCACATGTGTGTGTTTCGTGCGGTCAGGGCTTGATGAGGTATTTTTTTTCCCGTCACATCACACGATCAAGCAAAGCCGCAAAACCACCTCGCTGAATGACTAGCGCCGCACTGCCAATCCCACGCCCCGGAAAAGGACAAGCATAGCTACTGGAACGCGTGGGGCATTGCTCCAACAGGATGAACGCGCTGCATGATGCATGATGCACGGGGTGTATGCGTATTTTTTCTGCGGCCCTCTGAGCTTCACGTGTGTCTCCGGCGCGCTTGGCAAAAAAAAACATGACGAGTGCAACAGCAGAACCGTTGGTGACGCGAAACGCGAACAACAACCCCAGCACTGCTTCGCTACTCCAAACCACCACAAAAAACGCACGTAGGGGCTGCGGTTCAAGGGGCTAAGGCTGACCGGGGGGAGCTCGTGGCACAGACAGCACAGCCCCTATTGTGTGCGCGCCACGTACGGGCACCGCCCAATATCAACTCTGAGTACCCCCGTGGCCATCCACCGTTTCTGGAGTGCAACATGGCACGTGGCAGGAGTGTGAGGGTCACTCAGAGCGCGTCAGACAAGGTCCAGCTCCTCTAGAGCTCGACAAGAACTTGATCATCGTCTCACTAACCGCCGCCCCCGTATCTCTCTCTCTCTCTCTCTTACCTCCATGGCAGAAGAGATGGGGTCGTCGACGGCAGCAGCGACCGGGATCTCCTCCGCAGCCTCCTCGAGCGTTGCCTCGGCAGCGGTCTCCGTCGTCTCGGTCTCGTCCACCGCCGCCGACATGACGCGCACACCTCGGCCCGTCGCGGCCGCGGGGCGCGGCTGCGCCGCCGCGCGCGTTCGGGATACCGCCGCGTTGTACTTGTGCGCCGGTACCACGAAGTTGGTAGGCCGCACGCTCTGCAGGAAGGCCGTGCTGGACCCGGCAAGGCCCAGCATTACAGCCAGGGGGAGGTTTACGCGCACCGTCCTCATGTTTTGCTGTTGTTTTGGTCTACAGTCTCTTCCCGTGGGAGAGAGAGAGAGAGAGAGAGAGAGAGAGAGAGAGAGAGGTTGAGGATTGACCGGCAGGAGAGGAGAGCACGGTCGTCGGTGTGCTGTGCTGCTACGAAGGATAGGCGCCAGCGGGGATGAGGGTGGCTCACTCGTTGTTTTCTCGTCAGCAGCACACGTCCTTTTTTTTTTTTAAATCCTCATCCCCGCCGGGTAAAACGCAGGTTCGTCATCTCTCTAAAACTCCGCTTGTTTGCGCCGCCTCTCCGTGGGCGCAGCGGCTAGCACGCGGAGGTCCGATAAGCGTGCACTCTTGGCATGCGTGCACATGGCTTCGAAAGCATCGGTACTGAATGGTGGTGGATTAAAGCTGTTGACCTCCGTACTGCTGGCGATTTCGACGCCACGAGCAATCCACTGCGGTACATCTGCGGGATCGACCTCACATCATGATCGACTCGCTACTGCTGCTGCTCCTCCTGGGGACATGACCCCTCCAGCCGACACCAGCAGCCGCAGCCGTGCTGAACCTGCACTCTCCATTGCGATCCCTCCTCGTGAGCCCGTAACGGGCAACACACCGCTTGAGGTGCAGATGTTGGACTTCTCGTTCAGCCCGCTTGGGCCTCGCGGCCTCCAAGACACGGACATCGATGCAGCAGGAGTTGTTGAAGAAGGGCAGCACCACCGGTACCCCGACACCAACTCGCCGCCTTCCGCGCTCAGCCTCAGGGAGTGCTCGCTGGGGGACCTTGGGGTTGCAGAGGTTGCTAGGTCCCCGTGGGTGCGTGGCAAAGCGGGAGTTAGGGCGTTGTCGCTACGGCAGAACCAGGTGCGGAGCTTTGCCAGCAGCAGACGCAGAACACGTGGATGCGTTCAAATCAACGCGGCAGGTCAAGCGTTGTAGATGATGCCAATCTCCTAAATACCAACAGCACCAGCACCAGCGCCAGCAGCATGAAGAGCACGCAGCGGCACGCAACAGTGGCAGCGCAACGACCCGCCTTGCATGCGTATGTGACCATACAGTAGTATACTTTGGGTCATTTTTGCGTGTGTGTCTACCAAACAAGGGTCTGGCGGCACAGCAGAAGTGGTCTCTGATGTTCTACATCGTAGTATCATGTGTAACAAGGTTGGTCCGTGCGACTGGCGAGAGCAACGCGGCCTGAGGTCTTCCGTCCTCATGCCGTGCACCAAAACACACACGTGTGTCTTTCGCTCGTTGCCGCTGTCTCTCCCACCCAAAAATCAAGTGACACCGTCAGACAGAATCTCTGTGTCGTAAAGCAATGCTAAGGCATTTTGTTCGTGGGACCGAAAAGCGTAGAAGGCGGCGCACGCCACGCTGGTGCCACAAGAGCGGTCCTTCGTCCGTCTCGTCTTCATTCTCAAAAGCCTGTTCTGCTCGTTAGATTCTCTTTCTATCTCTGAGCGTGGTCTAAGTCAGTGAGTAGAACAATTTTCCTACATACGTACCCCCCCCACCGTCACGCACGCACGTCCTCTGCGCAGCAGCCAAAAGCACTGCTGACCCGAGCGTATCTCTCTCTCTCAGAACCCCACCTCCTCCCACGCACGATTCAACGCACGGCAGGTGACGGCTGCCGGGGTGCGGGCCCTGCTGGACTCCCTCCGCTCGGCGGCCGACTCCGGCGACCGGCTGGCCTGCCTCGAGCTCGACTTCAACCCCATCGGGGACGCGGGCGCGCAGCCCCTGCCTGCGTACCTGAAGGAGCGCGCGGCGAGGGGTGGCGGTGGGCTGGAGGAGCTGTCCCTACGGTTCTGCGACATTGGGCCGGCGGGGTGCAGGTTGTTTTTATTGGCCCTTCTGTCGGTTGGCTGCGCCGACGAAAAAGTCGGGGGGGGGGGTTCGTTTCGACTGTTCAATAGAACAGCAGTACCGAAGGTGCTTCTCGCGGAGGCGGGGATTCTTTGCTGCTCTCAAAACGCGGGCCGGGGCCGTGCCGCTTCGAACCTTCATAGACACGTGTCACCAGTAAATTTGTCCTCTTCCTATCACCGCAATACCCAACAGCCGCTTTCGCTTGTCACGCGCCCCCCCCGTCCCCATCAGGTACCTCTCCTCAGCGCTACTGAAGAGCGCTGCTGCAGCAAAGATTTCCGCCAACGACGACCCCAACAACTCCGCCAGTGAAGCTCCCACCACCGCTGGCAGGGGGGCCGGGCGGGAAGAGGAAGAGGCGGAGGGGGAGAAGAAGGGCGGTGCAGAGTTTGGCCTGCCTCCCCCGGCGGCTTCTGGGATCAGGCGGCTCCTGTTGACGGGAAACGACCGCATCGGCGACGCAGGGGCGAAGGCGTTGGCGTCGGCGCTGAAGAAGGACAGCTCTCTCCAGGTTCTTGACCTCACGAGGTGTGCGTGTGTATGCAGTTAGGTTTATGCTTGAGAGAATGGGCGTTGATGCGTAAATTGTGACCGGTGGAGTGGAGGGTGAGATTCGTGGAATAGGTGCTGTCATTCACGTCTTGAGTGTGAGGACTACCTCTCACGCTCTATGCACTTTTTCGGTGTTTGTACCATGTTGCACAATATCTCCACACATGTTTTTGTATTTGTAAGTTCAAACCATCCCAAAAGAAGAGGGGGGGGGTGCGTGGGCGATGAGCGGAGCGTTTGGACCCAGTTGTCGAAAAGCCCTTTGAAGTGATCTTCGGCGAAGCGGACTCCCTCGTTGATTCGGTAGCTGTTTCGAACGCGTTCCGACTCGATATCGCTGCTTCATCCGATTTTGTCTTGACTAATCTCGAGCCCGCGGCCTGTCTTGGACGGGGGCACTTTCGCGCACGTCTTGCTACTCTGGGGTGGGGCGGTACGGCGGGCGGCCGACGAATGACGACAGATGCAAGATTGGCGACGACGGCGCGCGATGCCTCGCCCAAGCGCTTCGGTCCAACTCGTGCCTTCGCGAGCTCAGGTAGGCCACCATCCGAATGCGTGTTGTAGCTTTGCGTGTGGTCCTATTTGTAGAGTCTACCTAAGACCGCTATGGTGACGCCGGGGGGAGTGCGAACTGGAATTTCCACCGAGTATTTGCATTTTTCCGCGCGTGTGTTTGCCGCTGTGTTGGCCCCCATGTTTGGAGGGTTTCAGCGGCTTTCGATTGCCGGCGCGTGTAGGCAAGGCCGTGCCTCGGCACTTGGCGGACCCAGCGACGGGCGTGGTGACTCTAGACCGAGTAGTCCTAACGTCTTGTTTCGTTCCACGGAGCATGGTGTCAACCAGGGGTGTGCGAAGGACGAGTGTGTGTGCGGGGGGAGGTCCGCTCTTGAACTCCCTGTAGGTAAAAATATGTACGTTCCTGCTTGACGGTGAAGTTGTGCACGTGGGCAGAGTCTCGTTCAAAGTCGGTACAGGCACGCACGCAATATGAAGCCGCGCGCTATTCAGTGTTCTAGTCCCGTGCCATGCAGCAGCCAAGAGCAGCCGATCTGGCTTTTATTTTCATGGCAAGAATGTTATTTTTTCTGCCGGAGGTTGCAACACGATTAAGCGACCAACATTTGTCTCCATGCTCCGATAATCTACACGAAATAACGGAAGCTACAAGCTTCGAGAAGGGAGTTTCCATCGGCCAGACGGGGAGGAAAAGACATGTCAATAAGAGGGAGGACAACCCAGCTGTTGCGAGAACATACCCAGGCAGAAAATAGCATAACTCAGATCATTTATTGAGAATGTGAAGTGTACAGGGAAGGGAAGGAAATGGAGTCCCTCGTGGAAGTCATGCGGAAAGTATACGGAAATTACATATTTGAGGTACGGTGAAATAGACAGCGAGGATAAACGACGGGAAAATATGTATAGATGGCGGCCGCGAGATGCCAGACTGGAATGGGAGAAGGCAGAAGCAAAAGGATGCCTCGTGGAAAATATGGAGTAAGCCTGAAGACATAGGTGATCTCGAAGACATGAAGACCGATTGCTGGAGGAGATATATCGAATACTGCTGTATGGAGTAGGACGGTGCTCCGTGTCGAGTGCACAGCCCGGCCCATGGAAAAATGACTACAAGAGGCAAGCGGTATATGATTCCCCTACCACCGCCCCCCCAAGGATGGTAACCAGTTTCCGGTCCATCCTTCCGAAACCTTATGGCCCCGTCCCAGCATGAATTTGCATTGGTACGAGTACCCAACCCCCCCGCGCGCTTGGCTCCTCGGTTGGTGTTTGGTACTGTACCCGCTCGCGTCCCATTTAGGTTGGGTTACAACGACATCTCCGCGGACGGCGCAGTGGCCCTCGCTTCCCTCCTGCATGCTGGCTCTAGCGCCCTGGAGTGCTTGGAGCTGCAGGTAGGATCATCGACTCCCGTCCGGTGTACACGTTTTGTTCTTGTTGACGCGCGCACTCAGGTAAGACTTGGCGCTCCTTTGTTGTGCGTTTTTAGATGAACGAATATTTTATCGTCAGACCCCTGACACGCGCTGCTGTGTGTCCGCCATTGAACGTGATTGCGTCAAACTCTAGCGGAGCGTCGCGCTGAATAGCGAGGGCGACCTCTCCCCGCTCCCCCCCCGCCCGAAGGACAGAAAGTACTGGTTAGCGCCGCTTACCAGCACAGGAGTTGTACACCCGGGTCATGGGTACAAGTTGAAACGATCGTCGTTTGACACCCAACAGCCTTATCGAAGCATGTTCTGTCTTCGTTCTGTCTTCGTTCTGTCTTCGTTTCGTTCCATGTGAGCTGAAGAAGCCCCTTCGTGTTGGCTGCCGCTAATTTTCCAAGGTTGGAGAAGAACGTCGGGTGAACCGCATGCGCGTCTGTCCACCCTGGAATCCCTCATACCCCGACCGATTGCCCCTCCGCTCAAATCCACTGCAGTTGGTGCCGTTACAGTATGTGCCGAGAACAACTTCACCGGTACTATCTATTCCGGACAACGGCACTATTCAGAACAGGAACATATAGGTTTTAGTGTAAGAGTGGACACTCGTTATTCGACACCATTCCGGGTACCGGCGCCGGCACCGGCACATGACAGGGACCTCTACTGCTGTATGTCTACTGACAAATGCAGGGAAATCATGTCGGTGATGCCGGCGCCGTGGCCTTGGCTGACGGTCTTGTCGGGGGAAGCAAGCGCGGTGGCCGGAGGAGGGGCGGTGCGGCCAAGCAGGGCAGCAGCAGCAGGAGGGGGCCTGGCCTACGGTCGCTAAACCTTGCGGGGAACGGCATCGGGTGCGCCGGCGGGGGTGCGCTTGCCAAGGCCTTGGTTGGCGGGAAGGGTGGAGGAGGGGGAGGAGTCGTGCTAGAGGAGCTCGAGCTCGCGGGGAACGCGGTGAGTTGATTTTGTTTCTTCTCGAAGGCGGGGGTTGACATGGCATGAAATGCGTCGTGGTTTTTGCATTGTTTGCGAGAGGTACAACATTGGGAATGTGCAAGAGTGCGGAGAAAAACGTTACGTCAAAAGCCGCTTCTGTAGCTCGCTCGAGCTCGACGAACCTTTTTGTCCGCCTCCTCGGTAGTCGACACTCCACGTTACCCCGGACATTACGTTGATTGCCTTCGTGGGGTAGCAGACAACGCCAAACAATTGGTGTGATATCAACGTTGTGTCTTCTGTCGGTTCAGCAATTAAGACACCGGTCGCCCCGGTGGTCTAGTGGGTAGCCTCGCAGCCTGCTAAGGGCCAGGTCATGGGTTCGAGTCCCGACAGAGTGAGTTTTTTCTCGCTTATTACATCCTGGTCTCCGTTGGAAGCGATGCGCTGCAAAGCTCGTTGTTGGTAAACTTGATCGACTTCATAAGTCGCGAGGGAAGGGATTGCTGTACCCTTCTCGCTATAAAAACATCTCAGGCAGGACCCGCAGGAGGGGGTCCAACCCCCCCCCTCCCATGTGATTCATCACTCTTCCTTCTTCCCCTCGCTGCCTCGGGAAGGTTTTGCGTAGGCATGACTCATAGCGAGTGGGGGGGTCTTTCTGGCGAGCAGGGCTAGACTCACCCTCAAGGGATGGATACCTTCTTGCTGCGGCGCACCCGCCGCGAGGCGTGCGTAGTGGTCGAGTTGGGTCGGCACTGGTGCGTCAGGTACAAGGTGCAGATGCGCGGGCCTCCAGGCCGTCGGTGTAGGCAGCAATGCCCATCTCATCTTTGTGCGCGGAGGCAGACGTCATCAGAAAGGTGGACGGGCACTATGTACACGGCCCTAGGTTTGCTAGAGGGAGCTGTACTGTCTCGGTAACCTGCTTTTGCCATCAAAGGAGGAGGGGACAGGTGGTGACGAGCTGATTGGGCTGGTTGACCCTTCGGCGCGAGAATTTTCAGACCAAGAACCCTAAGTGCAACGAGGGAGAAAGCGAGAAACCGACTGGGAAGGACAGCAACGAGAGCGTGTACGAAGCGGAGCGGGTCGAGTTTGGTCGTGCTAGGACTGGCCACAGCGGCACCGGAGCAGCGGAACCGGAGCAGGCTGACGGCATCGAACCGTGGCGCACGGACAAACATCTCTTGTGTTGTCAATTATTTTCCCGTTTTTCTACTGAATACAAGTGTTGGGTGTGTGTGATGACGTCACTGGTTTTGTAGAGAGACGCGGCAGAGATGGCGCGGATAACCCGGGTGCCTTAATTGTGTACCTGCATCGTTGAAGACCCCTTCAATGTGGAACGATTCCTAGTCAGTGTCGATGTTTACACTGCTGTGCCTAACACAGATGATCTGGATAGATTCGGGTGATTGTCAATTACAATGATGGCTTTGGTTGGTTGTTCTTCTTCATTGTATGTCCACGGACTCATTCTGACAGCACTTCAGACAGCAGTACGCTGTAGTCGACAAACATTCATTTTGGTTAAATGCGGGACAAGGGGGGTGATGCTGCTGCTGTAGTCGATTTGCAGTGTGTGGGCGTGTAGTTCAGTTGTGAGCACGCAAACGTGCTGCAGGGATTGCAGGTGTACCTCCTCGGGCTTGCGTACCCTTTTCTTGCTAATAGTGTGTGTGTTCTTGAGATCTTCTGATGGCTCTAGCATTTTTGTGACCACGGACCGAGTCTTTGCTAGATTTTGGGATTAGCAACTGACACGAGTTTAATGTGAAGAAAACAACAACAACAACAACAACAACAACAACATGTGACCCCGGTTGGGTCGTCTAGCTGGTAGAAGTGGAGGATAGGGGCCAGAGGGGCAGACGACAGAGTCCAATGATGGGGAGCAACACAAACAAAAAACAACTCGGTCGAAACAAAAGGGTCCGTTGCCCTTGCACCACCACGGACCTCTGTTTTCTCTTACGGACATGAAACACACCTTGTTGTGATCCCCCCCCCTCCCTCGATGTTTGCCATCGGGATGGGGCTTTCGTCGCTTGGCAACGACGTTGTAAAACAAGCCAATTCACTTCGTAAACTCGGCAACCAGGTTACCGTTTGTGTTTTTTTACCTCTGTTTTTTTTTTGGGGGGCGGTAACCATTATGGTGTTCGAGTAGATCATGTTGTGCGGGGTCAAGAACCCTGACTCCGCGCAAGGGGGATGATCGCACCACGTTGTGTTAAAATGGTGAAGCACCCTTGGGGCAGTTACACAGTGCTTACAACTGTCTCTGGAAGTGAAAGCACCAGAAAACACATTAAGTCATACGCAGCTGTCATCCGTACGCAAGGAAGTAAGCACAAGATGCCGAACACCCTTAGCAGGATGCAGCGCACCCTTCATGCGACTCGCCGAATACCTCACGGCGCTTCGCGCTTGGTGATGTGAGAGCCTGGTCCGGTGAGAACCCGGCGTGCTCCGTCCTGGCTTTGTAGGGATGCGAGGTCAATGGTCTAACGACAACGGCATGCACGACTGTGAGTACACCCCCCCGCTTCTTCCCTCCTCCCTCCCGTCGCCTTTGGGGCGCCCTGGGCTAACCGTAACCTTTCACGCTCGAACCATCTGTCCGCCTCGACATTGCTCAACCAGCTCACCCTCAGCGCGTCCCAAGCCGCCGCGCAAGCGAAGAGCTCCTCCCTCTACAAGTCGGCGGGCGGCGCGCTGTCCTCTCTGCTCACCACCTTCGTCGACGAGAGCTACTACAGCAGCAGCAACAACAACCGCGGCAGTGGCCAGGACGCCTCGGCGTTAATTCCTCGGTCACTAGGAAACCCCGCCGGTGGCGTGGCCGAGAGACCGCTGAGGTGCGCCGTCGCGGAGCTCGGAGAAGCGCTAGCTGGACGAGGTGCCCGTGGGCGCGGCGGCGGCGGCGGCGGCGGCGGCGGCCGTGGGGGTGGGAGCGACGGCGGGTGCTCTTCCCTGAAGGCGGTGGGGCTGGCTAGGACAGGCTTGACAGAGAGGGACGCGGCGAGGCTCGCGGCGGCCCTGCGGGCTAGGCCCGTGGACAGCCCGTTGGAGGAAGTGGAGGTGGGTGGTTGGCGGGGCTTTGGAGCGAAGGGAGTTGGTGGAGGGGATTGCGGGGCTGGAGCGGTGGTGTAGAGGGAAGGAAAGGCGTTGTGGCGGTGGGGATTGGGGGACTGCAAAACAAGCTCATTTCGGTGCCGATGTCGAAAAGATTGTGTCTAAGCGATTTCTGGTCGCCGTTGCGAGTCGCAGTCGCTTGCTTGGGGAACGTATTCAACTTCAACTACCTCGCTTCACGTTGCTATTATTTCGGTCACCGCCGAAGCAGAAGGGCTCTCGACACACAAGGAAGTTGTTTCCCCGCAAATCAAGGGCGGGCCGTAAGACCCCGCGTTCAACTTCAACCATCTTATTTTCATCCGCAGACGGTGGCCTCCGCCCAATCCCGGCGAATCCCTCCCCCCCTTGTCGCACTCGTCTTTTTTTTCTCATTTTTTCTTCCTCCGTAACAGGTGGGATTGAACGGGCTGAGCGTTAAGGCGGCCGAAGCCATTCGATTGGCAGTGGAGTCTCCGACCGCTCCTCACGACCGCAGCAGCAGCTTTGACAACGACCTCGAAAACTCCGGGGCTCGGGGGCGGCAACGGCAGCAGCGGCGGCAACGGCAGCAGCGGCGGCGGCGTCGTGATTCGGCAGCACCCGGCGGCGACGCAGGGGAGGAGCCAGGGCTGAGGTCGCGAAGAGGGGCTGCAGCAGCAGCAGCGGCCGAAGAACGATCCGCGAGGAGGTGGGAGGTCGGGGAGTACGTGTCTCCGGGGGGGGGCGTGGAACTGGGGCTGTTCGGGAAAAAAATCGCTTCCTTTCAACAGGTAGGTGCTGCTGTGGGTGGCTCGTGTAGTTGCGGGCCTGACCCGAGAGAGCAAAAGAGGCCGCGTTGGGGGGGCGACGGTCGCGCTGTGTGTGTGTCTCGTCTTGGTTGCCCTTGCCGTTGAATGCGGGACAGAAGTTAGTCGTCGCCGCTTAGAGGGCATTCATGATTGCTCTCTTCGACAAAACGGTGCTCTAAACGCGGGGAGGTGTTCTCTAAATATGACGCCCCTATTATTTTTGCATTCTGAGGGGCACCACCACGCTTCTGAAAAGGATGAAGTTCTGAAATCATTTTTTTTTTCCGGTGTCGGTGTATTTTTTTTTTTTCCGGTGGCGAGTGCCTGACCCCGGTTGGCGTTTGTTGGCAACAACCGACTCTGTTGGTGGTCAAGGCGCGATATACCGCGCGGGTTGAGGCTGTGGAATGGGTGGGTGTTTTGGGCGGGGCTCGATCATCCCGTCCATGGCAGGTTACAATACGCCTTGGATTTTGTCGGTACTCGGAACATGTGTGATTTTCCTCAGATTGGCGTGGGTCCTTAGTGTACGAAAGTGTTGCCACTCTCGAAGAATGAGGTTCAATGCATGACTCCTTTGGTGTTGCAAGGTCTAGCCCCGGCCGCACGAGGGTCGGCTCCGGGGTTTCAGCATGACAGCATGGCAGTGTATGGTACTACTATTATACGCAGGCAAACCTTTCACGAGTTCCGTGTCCACAGGCGGAGCTTCCAATGGATGTTTCGTCGCGCGCTGGTATTGAACATGTCGTCCAAACATCATCGCGACCCCAGCTCTCCCCCAACCGAGCATGCTCTTGATCCCCTCCGCCCTCCCAGCATGGCAGGGATGCGAGGTGAATGGTTTAACGACTACGCCATGCATATACACTATTAGTACACCTCGTCTTGAATTGTGTTAACTTTATTTATCGAAAGTGTCGACTCTCTGCTCTTCGTTCATCCCTCCGGACCGCAACAGGCGGGAGGCTCCGGGAGAGAGCTCGACGTTGAAGTGTTCGGGAAACGGGTCCGCTTCGAGCAGACGGGGGGATCGCCGCCGTCCCCACGGCCTGGCTCTTCGTCGCCGCCTTCGATGGCCACCGCCGAGCCTGACCCGTGGTCTGACGATGATGACGGAGGCGGCAGTGTCAACGGCGACTCTGATATTGGCGGGGTGTCCGCCGCTGCTACCGACGGCTTATCCTCTTCTTGGTCCTCCTCCTCCTCCTCCTCCGAGGATGATGATGACGATGATGGCCGTGAGCACGAGGGGGGGCACGATGATAGTCGAGCGGGTAGGGCCCCCGCGGTTCTCGGCAGCGATGACCCTGAGAACAGCAGCAGCAGCAGTGCTGCGGACGATACAGAGGATTGGGATGATGGTGAAATGAGCGATGGCGGCGACGACGAGGAATGCGGCCTTGACTCGAGCGCTGCCGGGAGGGGCAAGCCCGGCCGAAGAAACCCGGCGTCGCGGAGAAATTTCAACGTGCGCGGGGGCGGCGGCGGCGGCGGCGGGGGCGGCGAACCACCGACAAAAATACCAGGTCGACGGCTCTGGTCATCGCGGGAAGTAGGAGGAGCAGACGACGGCGAGTGGGCCGTGGGGTTCGGAACGGTGTCAGCCAAAGAAACCGAGGCAGACTGCGAGAATGGTATGGATGGCAGCGGGGCGGCGAAGGTTGAATGGGAGGACGGTTTCCGCGAGCCGTCGGAGTCGAGGACAGAAGGAGCGGAAGACAGCGAAGACGGCGAGTGGGCTGCGGGGTTCGAAGCGGTGTCCGAAGAAGCTGAGTAGAACTGCGAGAGCGCCATGGGGGGCGGCGGAGCAGAATCGGCCGAGGTTGAACGGGAGGACGGTTTCCGCGAGTCGCGCAGGGAACAGGGAGCGGAAGACGGCGAGTGGGCGGCAGGGTTTGAACCGGTGTCAGCGAAGAACTGGCCGAAACACTGCAGCTGACCGCGGCTCAGTATCAATCGAGATGATGGAATAGAGCGCAGGCTTCGACGACTGCGAGTTTGAGGATCGGGGCGCCGGGGGGAATGATAGGCGGTAAAAGGTGTTAGGAATCGATTACTGCGATGTTGAAAGCAATATATGACGTGTTACAGCAGTTTAGTTGTTGGCAAGTGTATCTAGAAGGCTCGAATGAAATTTTTCAAGTGCTTGCCTGATGTTGACTTCGGGGGACTTTTGGTGAAACTTTGAGATCCCTGTAGTGGGGCTCCTGCTACACATTGCGTGCTACAAACAACGGCAGGATACGCGCGCTACCGTCGAGGACTCGCGAAGGGTGCTCAGCCAAGCCGCCTACGCTAAAACCTATATAGTAGACGCCAACACTTAAAACCTAGAGGTGGGCAGTCGCCGTAGGGGTGTTCCACGCCATGCACAACGTAAGAAACGAGCCTCGCCCATTGTAAAAGAGGTTGTGAAGTGGTGCCGCGTTATTGACATGTGCAGCTCGATATTGCGAGACTCACTCGTCCTCGTTGCCCTGGGAAAAGCCGGCCGGGCACCGCCGTTGTGTGGTGAGCGCCGTGGTAGGCAAGTGAAGCGTTCAAGGATGGCTAGGCTTTCCTTGTATATTTGTGCTACAATATTCGAGGCGTCGGCCCGTGTCGTCAGTCGTAGTCTTTCATGGTGAATTTCCACCCGCTTGAAATAGTTCCCAAAGCGAGCACTCTTCCTCTTCTGATCACTTGGCGCGGGACTAATTTGTCCCCGACACCAAAAGAGGGAGAAATAAGCTGGAGACGGATCTGGGGAGCTGTTTACGGCCAAGTCCTAAGATTTCGGATTTTTTGGGCTCAAATTCTTGACTCCTTACTTGTTAAGCGGTGGCGCGTTTTGTATAGAAGGAAAGTCTACCCATCGTTGCGCCCTTCGAGAACTATGGTAACCTCTCTTGCATGCTCGATTTCCCAAGCCATTTTTCGCCGTGCCAGACTGGGGCGAGCGTTCGAAGTCCCCATCGCAGGCGCGTGGGAACACCAAATTTTGTTTACTCCATGAGCGACGGAACACCCAGAAAGAAGCAAGCAACGCCCTTCCAGACGACTTGCAACTTCTGTTTCCATCGTTTGCAACACAAGCGCACTAGTCGGAAAAAGAAACATCTATATGAAGCGTTTCCCTACCAAAACACAAAAGAAAAACACAACTGCCGGTGAACGCTGCGCTGCTGCTGCGTTCATGCTGACGATACACAAACAATTCTAGCACTTTCGAGGCTCGTTGTCTCTCAAAACTGAGGGGCGTGGCCGCGTGGTGAGAGGGGAGATTGTACGAGGGCACACGGCTGCAACTCCCTACCCACATTGAAGGGAAGCGCGCGCGTCCCCTCTTCATGCATGACAGGCGTCCCGGATAATTGCTTCGCCGTAGCAACTATGACTTCCTCTCCCTCCGCGTGTATTTTCACGTTCGAGCGTAGACATGTTATGCTCGTTCGGTTACCCCCGGCAACGGAACCACACCGAACAAGTGACTTAACGAGCATCACCTCTTCTACCGCCGTCCACGCCAAAAACTCCAACAAACTCCAAAACAAAACGAAATCGACCACAACGAAAACAACCGACGAAAACACACAAAACACTACAGTACCAGGAGAGCGCATGGTCCATGTGACGGATGGTCCAAGAAAAACAGGCCAAACGACTTGACCAGATGGGTCGGCAAAAACCACCCGCCAAGCCGGGGCACGTGGACAAGAAGCGGAGAGGGGGGGGGGGCATCCACCCGGAGGTTGTCTAACATTTCCCCCTCCTGTCGAAACAAGGCACAAAAAACTACACGTATACACATCACTAGACGATACGCGATGTAGTCCAACATATCCAAACAAACAGCGTGTGAAGCATCACAGGACCCGGCATCACGGGAAAACGAACCCAAAAACATGAAAAAAAAAAAACTCCGGCAAAATCCCGCGAACACTCGACCAAGTACGGCGGTTGTTGGAACTCCCGTTGAGCCCCCCCCCC